CAATGAAGAAATTTATCAAGCACAATTCCGTCTAAGCGATCATGCTTCAGTCTTCCAAGCCGAGTCCCTAGCACTCAAAGAAGCAGCACTATGGTTAGGTACACAACCAGCAGCTCACACTTCATTCTTCACAGATAGCATGAGCGTTCTGAATGCGCTGAATTCCTTTCCTCCAAAACATCCGCACACGGCAGCACTTAGAGAGATCTTCTTGACGTTAGGCTCTTCCATACCTTTAAAGATCAACTGGATAAAAGGACATACCGGGCAGAAAGGGCAACGAACGAGCGGATGAACTAGCTAAGACTGCAGCTCTCAAACCAGAAATTGACAAGGAAGTTCCGCTTTCCGCAGAAGTTGCAAAAAGGCTCCTCAAGACAGCATTTCAAGAGACATGGGCATCACGATGGCAGGAAGAAGAGACAGGAAGATTTACTTACAACATCTTCCCAATACCTTCTCTCAAGAGGCTGAAATGCAACCGACTCTTCCTCCAAGCCTGTACCAACCACGGGAAATTCCCAGCGTATTACAGACGTTTCCTCAGACGGGACGTCAACTGTTCTTGCGGTTTTCGCGGGGAAGACGCGGACGCACTTCATTACCTGCTCTCCTGCCCTCTGACAGAGCACCTTCGACAGCAGTTCTTTCCTTCCGACTACATCACATATCCTGTGAATAGACTGTTCACGGACTATTACTGCAACAAGGGCATCTTAGAGATAATGAAGCAAGTGAATGAAAATAATTATATCCAAGAAATTACAGATTAAAGTAAAATGTAGAAAGGCGGCCTAACCGTCAGATTGCTAGCAATGAATAGGATAACTTCCTAACCCTGTAGTGCCATTAACTCAGTTTGGCGGAACAGGTTAAGTAAAGTGACCATATATATCTCCTGCTTCGAAGTAACCTAATATCTCTACAATGGCGCTCGAACTAAAAGTTGGTGAATGATGATTCTTCACCACCAGGATTTGGTGATCGGGTACCCTAAAACACCATTCGCCCTTTAAAAGGGGGAGTATATAAGGTATTTCTCCTACCTTCTTAGCACGCCTTCGTGGTCTAGTGATCAGCACGCTCGACGAGAATTCGAGAGGTACGTGGTTCGAGTCCCGGCGACGGCATTGCTCATTTTTTATGTCTCCTGCTTCAAAATAACTTAATGTCTCTACACAGTTTCAGTAACAAACAATGATTCTCTTAAGGAAAATCTTCGCAATCGCATAATGTCAGATGAGCGTACCATCCATATTTTCGAATTTTAACAGGTCTTCGTGATCTCCAGATTTAACATGAGAAATTTTTCTTCTCTGGACTATATTAAAGCAAATATACATGCAAATAAGGCATGAAGAATAAAGACAATATTCTAAGAGCAGTCAAAATAATTTCAACGAGCAGTTCAATGTAATTTTATCAAGAGCTAAGAAGAATTCCTTGGATAAGGCTATCAAGTCGAAGCTAAAAGTTGCGATTTGTTAAATGCTAATTTTAACACATCTTATAAATATATTTCCATATATTTTATTTAATATTAAGAAAGGCGCAAGTAAATAATACTGAAATAAAAATTTTAACATATTAATTAAATTTTAACGTTAATTGTCCGATACTTATTATGAGTATATTTAATTGTATGTATTATTTTAAAGCAATAATTATTATTCTGTTATTTGCTTTTATAAAAAAGTATGTTAGTTAGTTAAAAAAGGCCGACTTAAGAGGACTCGTATACCTTAAAACCCATAAGACGTTCGAATAGGTGACTGTTGCAAGAATTGGGATAACTTATTTATTTTAAAAGCAATTACTACCAACTTTTTACAGCTGACTACATAATATAGCTGCTTTCTGAAATAGTAATCAGAAAGTTTGTGTTGCCACAAATATTTTTATAATTTAATTCTCTTTGTGACAACATTTTTCGTCGTGTTTCCAACTTGAGCGCACAGCTTAAAACATTCTGTTTCATAATTTAATTCCATATTTAATATATAGCTTTTATAACATTTGGAAACTACTGTGAACCTAAAATTCTAAAAATTTCATGTTAAATTTTTGTTTTATTTTGAGTTGAGTTTATAAAATGTATTTTATTAACAAAATTTGTAATGTTTTCGTCCATAAAATTTTTCAATATTAAAATATTCATCAGATTGTTGGTTCAGTTAGAAAATAGTGCCCATATAAAGAATTCCATTAAATTTCAAGTATACCATCAGCCATTTTTAAAATATCATGCGCGCAAGGTGGAAACATGACGAAATATTTTGTCACAAAGAGGATTAAATTACAAAAATATTTGTGGCAACACAAACTTTCTGGTTACTAGTTTCCAAAGCAGCTACATTATGTAGTCAGCTGTAAAAAGTTCGAAATAATTGCTTTTAAAATAAATAAAATATCCCAATTCTTGCAACAGTCACATATTCGAAGATCATGAGGGGTTTAAGGTGTAATAGTCCGCTTAAAAAGTAGAAAGAAAAAAAAGGTTAGCGTACAAAATATCTTATGCCTTTCTATATGACTTCCCTAAATTTTAAGTCCAAATAACTTCTTTCTTGCTTCAGAGGAAAACAAAAAAAAAAAAAAAAAAAAATGAAAGAAACTTTATCTGGAATGAAAGAGATACAAGCCTTCAGAGGTTCATCCCCAGAGAAGCTTACAACCTAATTAGGAGGATCGTCGCATGTGACCGATTGCGAAAGTTACAAAATATATTTGCAGTTCCCACGTGGCTCCTCCTTGCAAGAACGAAAACAATTGCTGCGATAAATCCATAGAAATAGGTACACTGCCATCTAAACAAGAAACCAATCTCTATATAAATCAATCAAGAAATACGCTTCTTATTATAGCATACTATTCGTATTTGATTTATATTTACTTCTTTCACGTATTTCATTTTTGATTGCTTCCATGTATAGAGACAAATGATTACAAACTTTATTCTAATCGTAGCTAATAAGAAAACTTTTGATAGATGAACTTATTTGGGTTAATGTGTAAGATACTTATTGATTCTTTCCTGCACTTCTATTTTTTCCGAGAGTTTTCCCAGAATGTATATTGGGAGGATTTAAATATCCAGGTATAAACAGAGACACAAAGTTTGTCAACGTACTAGCTACACTGTTTCCTTTGCGAATCTCTTACCTGCAGTCCAAGCTGATTTCGGTGACTATTCTTTTCCCTGATTTTGCTACTATTTATGTTTGAAGGTCGTGAATAGTAGGAGCTGGGTTAATAGATATTAATTCTCTTCATTATATTTTTCACATTTAAGCATTTTTGTATGGCAGGACTCCACAAGAAGCGGTGAATAAGATTTTACATTTTTAGCTGAATCTAACGTTTTTAATGATAACGAACTTGTAGAGACATTAGGTTAACTGGAAACAGGCAAGATAAAAAATGACCAAACTTCTTCGCCGGGAATCGAACCGCAGACCTCTGGAATACCGGCCCAGTGTGCAGAACCACTACAACACGAAGGTACTTTAGGAAGGCGGGAAGAAATACCTTATATACTCCACCTTTTAAAGGGAGACTAGGGTTTTTAGGGGACCCAATCGCCAAATCCTGGGTGGGGAGAAATCTTCATCCTCCACCACCCTTTTAGTTCGGGTGCCACTGTAGAGACATTGGGTTATTTTTTGGAAGCAGGAAAGATGAAAAATTAACAAAGCTTTCGCCGGGAATCGAACCGTGGGCCTCTGGGTACCGGCCGATCGTGCAGAACCACTACACCACGAAGGCACGCTAAGAAGGTGGGGAAAATACCTTATATACTCCCCCTCTTAAAGGGCGACTGGGATTTTTAGGGGACCCAATCATCAAATCCTGGGTGGGAAGAAATCCTCATCCAATACCCTTTTAGTTCGGGCGCCAGTGTAGAGACATTAGGATTTTTTCGAAGCAAGAGAGATGAAAAATTAGCAAACGCCCTCGCCGGAAATCGAACCACAGACCGTATGAAATACCGGGCCAGCGTGCAGAACCACTACACCGCGAAGGCACGCTAGGAAGGCGGTGGAAATACCTTATATACTCTCCCTTTTAAAGGACGACTGGTGTTTTTTAGGTGACCTAATCACCAAATCCTGGGTGTGGAGAGTCATCATCCACAACCGTTTTAGTTCGGGGGCCACTGTAGAGACATTAGGTATTTCTTGGAAGAAGGCAAGATGAAAAATTAGCAACGCCTTCGCCGGGAATCGAACCACGGGCCTCGGAATACCGGCTCAGTGTGCTGACCACTGCACCACGAAGGCAAGCTAGGAAAACGGGAGAAAAGTTTTCGTTCAATTTCACTGTTCTTTACATTCATTGCATTTGCATTCATTCCAGACTTTAGGTTAAACTGAGAATACGATAAGTCTTCTATAGCATAAGATGATTAAACAAGTAAGAAGTGGAGAATGAATTAGGTTTAACGTCCCACTTATTCGTATCTGTTTTGCGCATGGAGTGCATTGGGATTATAATATCTAGCGATGCGAGACGCTTGAAGAACTTCCGATAAACGAGCTTCCCCTTCTTCTAAAATTAACTCCAGCTATCCCGAAAGTGAAGATTCCCGGAAATATTTCTTTCTAATTGTAATCATGGATAGCTTGCAGGTCTGATAACGGTTTAAGTAGGATCGGTGAAGAAGAATGTACCGTTAAACAAATTAAAATACAAATAAATCAAGTATGGGCACTACAAATGTAATAATGCGACACTTAATTGACAAGAAAATAAAGAATATTACTCAAATTTCTATATCAAAATATGAGTCTAGCAGATGATGTTTAATTACATCAGACGCAAGCTAAAGCTTAGAACCGTAATTTTTTACCAAATTATTCTTCATTAATATAAACCTCCCTAGCTTTGGTCAGAATTGCTCTAAAAATGTGTAAACGACAATATAGTAATATGCTTACCTCTTTCAAGGAAACTTTCAAAACACATTATAAAAGAAATGGAAGAAATTAATAAATCCTTACTGAAGACGGGCAGCGCAAATGTATTGGTATACTCCTGCGGTTCAGCCAGATGTAGAACAATGTTAACATGGCTGCTGCAGATAACATAATGGTGGCACTCACGTAGAAGAATACCGAACTTCCACTGGCATAGAATACTCCGCATAACAGTAAGGCCACAAAGCTCACACAAAGTAAAAAGATGGCAGATAAAAGCGCTGTTCTGATGAAAGTGCTGGGATAAAGGCCCGGACAACAGAAGTATGGTGACCGCCGAGAAGTTTCAGAAGATGATTTCTTATCCATTTCTGAAGTCTAACTCTTCATTTTGGACTGCAGTAATGTTAGATGTTGATTTGATAAATTTCTCCAACCTGCTCCTCTCCATTTTTGATTCATGATACAGAAAGCAAAGGAAATCTCTGTAAGAATAAAAAGTATAGAATTAATCGTTTATTGAGGTTAAGTAAAATCTTTCTTCAAGTAATATACTCAAATCATAAAATATATGCTATTAACTTTTGAAAAACGTAGTTTTAGTTCCTTTATTTACGAAAATAAAATTTCAAGTTTAGAAGACTCTCCTTTATTAATAAATTAAAACATCATTATCGAATTATTTATTACTTGTATCCAAAAACTTCACTGAAAATAGTTATGACTAAAATAATTAATAATTATCAGTTTATTTTTTGCATAAGTTTTTTCAAAATATTACTGAAATTGTTACATTTTCTACAGAGATCTAAAATGTATTCTAGCAGCGTAATCAAACAGCAATACAGCAGGCAGTTTGACTCCGTTTATGCTACAGCTTTAGAAAACAAATCTTTTATTTAAAAATTGTAATTAATTTATAATTATTAATTAATATTTTATTACCTAATAATTTATTGTTTAATACTTAATTCATTTTAATTAATATTTTATAGAGTCATTAGGATTTTTTGAAGCAGGAGACGTGAAAAATGAGCAGTGCCTTCGCCGGTACTCGAACCGTGGACCTCTCGAATACGCACCAAGTGTGCTAATCGTTACACCACAAAGGCATGCAGAAAGGAGGGAGAAAATACTTTATAATTTAATTTATAAGATATTTCTCCCGCTTTCCTAGCGTGCCTTCTTGGTGTAGTGGTTCTGCACGCCGGGCCGGTATTCTAGAGGTCCGTGCTTCGATTTCCGGCGAAGGTGTTTGCTAATTTTTCATCTTGCCTGCTTTCAAAAAATACCTAATGTCTCTACAGTGGCGCCCGAACTAAAAGGGTGTTGGATGATGATTCTCCTCGCCCAGGACTTGGCGATTGGTTTTCTAAAACCCCAGTCGCTCTTTAAAAAGGGAAGTATAAAAGATATTTCTCGCGCTTACCTAGCGTGCCTTCGTGGTATAGTGGTTCTGCACGCTGGAACGGTATTCCAGAGGTCCGTGGTTCGATTTCCGGCGAAGGCATTTGCTAAGTTTTCATCTTGCCTGCTTCCAAAAAAACCCCTAATGTCTCTACAAATTATTAATATTTAATTAAGCTTACTTCTACTGTTCGCACATTTTTAGACGATTTTCTTTGTATTTACAAAAATATTTTACCTAAAAGTTTTGCCTTTTAAATGTTCCATTTGGTAAACCTTGTTCTTCATTACTTCTCTACACCGTAATTTCCAAGACAATACAGCCTTTTTTAGTAGCGGAACAGGTATTTTATTCCATTCCTCTTGAACAGGTTTCCAAAGTCCAAGGAGGGCTGCAGGGCTACGTCTGGACAATCCGCTTTTTAAAAGTCCAAAAGTGAAAAAATCCGTTGGTGATACATCAGGAGATTTAGTAGGGATATGAGTGAAGTGTATGGCTTTGATACACATTTCTTGTTTCATTTTTCCAAGAAATTAACAATGAATTTTGACTTGTGGCTGCTTCCTTTGTCTTGATGCAGTTCTACCGATTAATGGCACTGTGGGTAATTATTCGGATCAGCGAGATATTGCGAATTCTAAGTACTTTTCCTTATATTTCTAAGCATACCGCTGGCCGATTGAATAAGAAAACTATTGAACAATGATAGATTGACTAGGTTTCGGTTCCTGCATGCAGATGTTTCAAATTTTTCTTCAGGTCTAACATGAAAGATGCCAGTTTTTCGTACAGGAAGTACAAAGGTATCACCCACAGCTCTAGTGTACTTTAATCAATTAAACAACATTCAACTATTTTGCACCAAATGGGAACTAAAACGTAGATATATAGTTTTACGGAATTTCACAATATGTTTATCTTGGATGAGATTCAGTCAAATTATTTAATTTCGGCAGAAACAATAAAAGAAAAATATATAATGTAAAGTTTATTTTAAACACCCGTATCACATGTTCGGGATCCCGTACATTTATAAACTAACGACGAATGGTTCATTCAGTGATACATTTATGCAATACAATGAATTGCGATTGTCAGACGCCACTCAAGTGCAAAGGATTAAAACTTCCTTCTAGGTGGTGCGAAAATTATTCTGAGCCAAATTATGTAATATACGGCTTAGAACCATGGATGCTTTTCACTTAAAGTCCTAATATTTGGTACTTTTCTTAATTGCAGTGAGTTTCACGACTTGGGGTGTGCCAAGCGGCCATGCGGTCTTCACTTCTGAGAGGAATAAAAATATATCCAAACAAGAATGTGTTTATTGAACTTGCATTCCTTTCGTTACAACTCATTCATTTACTCATGATGTCAAGAGATAGTGTTTATTAAGTTTTACGGACGAAATTTTGCTTCAAATGAAACTCAACACAGTAGTTGACTGGAATAACTACATGAGAGACGTACTATGTACCAGATGAAATGTCAGAACTTGCTATGTCAGATGAAAGCTCATTCACAAATAGGAAAAAATAAGCAGGCTGTGTTCTCCTCTTCACAATGGGTTTTCGAAAACGTTTTTTTTTTTTTTTTTTTTTTTTTTTCCCATGAAATTTGTCACGAAATTCCTTATTCCGGTCATTCCGTCCCATTAGCGGCTGAGCGATTAAGTAGCTGATCACTGGTCATTCTATAGAGGTTCGATTCAAGGAAACTAGCTTGCGGTTTGGGCGTTTTCTCTATGTGTAAATGGATACGAGCCAGTTTCCCTTAGAAAGTCTTTCATTAAACAGACTGCCCTCGAGTATTTTGCCATAATCAAATAAATGAAATCAAACCGATCATTTCCTTTCGTCTAGTACCAGCAAAAGTGTGGGGAAAGAAATAAGCCAGAATACACCAATATGACCCCGCAAAAATGCATGGTATAACTTTAAAGGAAAAGTGCTGAAGTATATTTCAACTGTAATAGTTGTCCAAATGTATATAAAAGGCAGATTTAATATTATATACCTATGTATATCTATCTCTCTCTCTTTCTATATGTATATAAGATACTATTTGTTTTGTTGTTGTTGTTTTGTACGTGTATTTCATGGAATAATGGTTGCCAAAGCGTCGAGGAAATTGGACTTCTACTCCCAGCCCAGTTATAATAGTTTTGGGGGAAGTAACCCGGTGGGGGGGGGTCCGAGGATCTCCCTCCTCTCCCTCTTCTCTACCATAAACCACACGAGAGGACTTTCGGCTTACCATATATTTAGAGTGTCGCTATGCTGCAAAAAGGTACTTCTCCGGAATTCGAACCAGAGCCTTGTATTATTTTTTTGTATTATTAAAGCATTATTTATTATTTATTATTTAAATTTAGTGAGATTCTTGTGCTTGATGCTTGCTGCAAAGAGATTTTATGTCAGGTTACAATTTAGTTAACTTATTTATTTTTAAGGTATTTCTCCCACTTCCCTAGCGTGCCTTCGTTGTGTAGTGGTCATCACACTGAGCCGGTATTCCAGAGGTCCGTGGTTCTTTTCCCGGCGAAGGCGGTTGCATATTTTTCATTATTTTCTGCTTCCAATCAACCTAATGACTCTACAAGTGGCACCCGAACTAAAAGGGTTGTGGATGATGATTCTCCGCACCCAGGATTTGGCGACTAGGTCCCCTAAAACCCTAGTCGCCCTTTAAAAAGGAGAGTATATAAGGTATTTCTCCCACTTCCCTAGCGTGCCTTCATGGTGTAGTGGTCAGCACACTGAGCCGGTATTCCAGAGGTCCGTGGTTCGATTCCCGGCGTAGGCAGTTGCATATTTTTCATTATTTTCTGCTTCCAATCAACTTAATGACTCTACAAATTTGAGTCTCAAGTATCCCCGTTTTGTTATATCCAGCCGATTTCTTTTTCAGCAGCAAATCATTTCTGGCACTAAATCGCATTTAGCAAAATATGAAGATGGAAACGGTAACAATAGTTCTCTTGCACATTTTGTTGCCTTTGGATATTTGATTCTGGTTTCCTCAAAAAGCCATGCCATCGCTCCTTTTATATTAATTAAAGTTTTAATTGACTCATCATTTTGCATTTCTGCAAGTTCTTCTTGATACTGCATATTTGAAATATCAGCCAAATCCACTAATAATGGCTGTTTCAAATTAAAAATCTGTGTTTTAAATCAGCCGATAAAATTTTCAGATGCTCGTCAGTAACATGTATAGCGGTATCAGACACTTCCCTTTTTTGGAGCCAATGAAACTTTTCATAATTTTTGTTGTAAATAGTATATATGCCTGATATAATTCAACAAAGATAATCAAACCAAATATCTTCGCTTTTGCATGGACATGAGTTTTATTTGCTCCTTGAAGTTGTTTATTTAATATATTTAGTTTTTCAAAGATATCGGCTAAATAACTCACAAATGCCTTACCATCATCCGTTAACAGACTTTTCATTTCAGGTTTGTCGCTTAAAAAATAACTAAGAATATCAAATAGTTCCATAAATCTTTTCAAACCGTTCCCTTTCAACAGCCATCTTACTTTATCAAAACAACAGTTCCTTCTAATCTTTTTGGCGAACATTGAGTGTTCTGATTAGACAGTGAGTCTGACTACAAACTATGTCTCATGGAGTGTAGTACGGACGACAAGATGAGAAGGGTTTAATTACCCTTTATTTTCCACGATATTACTGACGTTCCCGCACTTCGGGATACAAAGACCAACCACTTGTGGTCTGAACGTAAAAATATAATAACTACTGACTAACTAAAATTTAAATAAAAGCTAACTTTGAACACTTTACACAAATGACTAACACTAAGATTGGCCTTTTAAATTATTACGTATGTAGTATGCAAACTGCGGAAAACTACAATAAGTCTTTAGCTTTCGAAAGGAATAAAACCTCTGGCCTTAAAGGCAGACAGCAACTGAATGAAGCTCGCGTGAGATGCAGTGGCAAAGCGGCTCACTTTCTCTCTATCCAACGGCACTCTTGACAAAAAGCCACAACTTAAATACTTAAGCGTTAGCAAGTACAATTGTATAAACATATTCAACGCGTTTAT